CGAACAAATAAACAACTTACTTCTTTTATATATATATATATATATATATATATATATCATAGAATTCCACTATAATTTATCAGGCATAGTAACTAAGCTGTATTTGGTTCAAAAATATATGAAATTTTGAGCTCACTAAAGACTTACCATATTATCGTTTGAAGTCTTGTGTGAAATGTATGAAATTAACACAATAATATGTCAAATTAACTGAGAAAACCATTAGGGGGACATTCTGAGTTTTTGATTGGTTATTCATGTCATATATAGAAGTAAGTGAATATAAGGGAACATTTCAAAAAATAAAAAGAGGGGCTACAGCATTTCATTGAGTACATGAGTGATATCTTAGCAAATGGAAAAGATAGCAGGTTTTTATTTTATGTTCTAGCTTGTCAATATCGGTAGTTTGAGTTTCTAATTCGTATGAAACTGTAGATTTTGTATTTGGACATCACAAACATGTAATTTGAACCAGTGCTGCATTCAACATACCATGTGTCACACAAAAATTGATGTTTAGGTGTGTTTTTAATAATTAATTTTAAATTAAGAAATGAACTACAATATAATACTAAAATTTGAATTATAATCTACCATTTGATACCAAACTAATTGACATAAATTCATAAAATAGTAGTTCAGTAAAATTTTAAATGCAAGTCAACAAACACGATGACATGGCCTTTGACACGTGACCTTTCGCGATAAGGTTAATTATGTTGTTGATTCATAACCTAAAGAATTATACAGCTTCTCACGTGTACAAAAATTTTTTATATCAGGTTTTCACCTTGACACTTAACAGTCACTTTTCAGTTTCATTTATAATCAGAAAATAAAGTTAAATTCACTTTAGACCATACAGACACAGCAAGACTCAAAAATTTATCAGTAACAAAGGGTGTTACCTTTCAAAATAGCATCACCATACCTTTATCAAGTGTTATGGAATAATATTTTTGAGAATATTTTTTGTCAAGATCAGCTTATATAAATATAATAATTATATCTTGTTTTCTGTAAATAAGAAAGTATTGTTTTCATGTGTATCAGGGATCGAAATATTACATTTCTGAGGAATTTCATCTTTTTAGTTGTTTTTCAAAGTCAGGAATGCATGGTCCAGTCGTATTCCATTTGTTATGACCAATGAAAGTGAATGTATTGCATGGATTAAATAAAAAAAACACAGGAAATAGAACTTTACATGAGGGAATGTAATCTTCCTGATAGTTTTCCCTCAAGTGAATGTAATTTGATTTTATTATTTCTATCCCTGTATATGTTGTTACACATTATATTGAACATTTTAAAACTAGATTTGTGTCATCCGAATATAGTAGAACCTCAATTAAAGGGCACCTTGAAACAACAGGCACCGCACCATTAAAGGCAGACCTTTCAGTCTTTCTTTTTTTTCTACTATTTGTAACCAAAATGAATCTTGCAGTAATGGGTACTTCGCTATTCTGGATTAAGGGTAGTGTTTGTCGTCTTATTCTCTATATAGGCACTCGATAAAGTGTGCAGTTAACCCTTTCACTGTGGGCAGGTTAAAGTGTGCATATTATGACCTTATAAAAAGTTATTTTCAAAATTTTATTAAGTAACAATAATATTACTCATAACACTGTCAGTACTCAAAATCTTTGTTTTTCGAAATATTTGTTGTTTATTTATTCTTTTATGTTTTAATAAAAATAACTAAAATTTAAGAATTTGTGAATAAAGAGTATTATTGGTTGATGAATAAGTTTGCTAAAAGAGAAATAGAATTTTATAACTATGTGCCCAAATATCTTTGTATGCCTGTAAGGTATGCTGCTAAATTCCAAGCATTCCAGAAGGATGATAAGTATTCAAACACTTGCAATATTTAATGGCTGGAGATGGCTTGAATGGATAATGAAGAAAAACTTTAATATAAGTTTAACATAACAGCAAATGTACAATGTTTCAACAAGGTTTTGTCATCATCAGGTACCTGATTTTCTTAAACTAATTGTGCCATTACAGTAATTTATATTTTTTGGAGAAATTGTTGCTTAGAAATTAATTTTGGTTACAAAAGTTCAGGTGTTACATGATATCCAGGGTTTCTGTATGCAGGATCTGGTGTGTGTTCAAATTGTAAGTCAGCTGATTCCAGACTAGCCTTGCCTCTTTTATTAATAGCTGTTAAGATAGGGATAAAAATTAATTGGAGCTTGGTTAACTTTATTTGATTAATGATTGTAAACCTAGTATACAAGAACACAAAATACACACTTTTCTTAAAGATTTTACTCAACTTCAGTTGTCGTCTGCTGTTCTATGCTGTATGGTGGGTGTCCTTTAACCACAGATGTATGTTCAGGTTGTGTTGTGGTGTTACCCAGTTAGACATTGTCCTCTTCTCTACAGATAACTGGTACCTTCAGTCTGTTTTAACAAAGGCATTTTCATAATAGTTCCCAAACATAGATTTGTACTAATGTTTGACTTATTTTTCACAGGCATTGATAGGGTGCAAATGCACTTCTATGTCTATAGCAGAAAAAGTGCCGAAATGTAGGAGTTATTTATGCCTATGTTAGCAACTAAAATGGGAATGGGCAATCAAAAAAGTAAATATTATGGGAGAAAAAGTGGAATTGGACCTGTGTAACTCACAAAATTTGGAGAAATAGAGCGTGACCAACTGGCAGACTAACTGACACTTGGCTTTTATGTGTATGATGATTGTGATGACTTTATAATTTTTCATGATAATGTGATTAAACAACATTAAAAAGATTGAGAATTTTTATTTAGATTAAACAATGGACTAACTAGTGAGATATACTAGTGCCTCAATTATCTGCTTTTTCTGTTATCTGTGATTTTTTGCTTTTCATGGACCAGTGTGGATAATCGAGGTGCCAGTGTATATTTATTTACTTTTACAGCAACGAGTGTATGCAAATGATCACATGATATCAACAACCACTTGATAGTATTGCCTGAATTAACTGCCTTTGGTCCTGTCTAAATCTAAAAACGTGCACTGATTAGTTGAATTCAGAGAAAGCAGAAAAACAAAATGCCAAGAAATTAATAAAGTGCTGTGCAATCAAAGCACTTCATTCCTAAAATACATGAAGTGCTGAATCCACTATTAAAATCCTAGAAACAAAATTCAATTTAGGACTCAAAGAATGCAAAAGTAGTTCCAGACTTCCAAGAGTCCAGGATTGTTCTTGAATCGAGTTCTATTTAGCATAGCTGTACACACAAATAAAATGGTAGAAAATACCAGGCACGACAATGAAAGATTTAGTCACCATGGTGTTCAGGCAATTGGGATTTGTTTAGGCCTGGGTTAAGATCTGTTAACTTAATTTCTCTTGAGAAAATAGGTGTAAGAGGTGATCTTAGTGAATGTTTTATAAAATTGTATGGTGGATCAATAGGATAAAGGCCTCTGATTTCTTGTGCAATACTTTGAAAATAAGGATGAAAGGACACAAGTTTAGGATTTGGATAAGATAGGTTGGGCTCCAGTTAAGATAGTTTTATTTTATTAATAGGATGATTGACTTACAGAATTAATTGCCTTTGTAAGTGGTGGAAGACCACACTTTATAGAAGTTTAAGAGAGGAACTAATGATTTCTTGAAATGTGAAGAATTTGTTAATTCTTCACTTTCCTCAAGGGTGAATTGCAAGGACAAGTTTATTGTCCCTAAAGTATATTATGTTATTGAAGCAATGGTATTTGTAAATTAATTATGCAGTTGACATGTGTTATTATAGAGTGCAGAAGATTTTTATGATTATTAAATACATAATAGTTTATTTGTGTTTCTATATACCATTCCTGTTTTAAAATAATGTATCTTTTTTATAGGTGATGTGTACTTAGTGGGTTGTACCAATGTGGGAAAGTCAACAATATTTAATGCACTTCTACAGTCTGATTATTGCAAGATCAGAGCAGTTGATTTAGTCCAGAGAGCTACAACATCTGTTTGGCCAGGTTAGTGCTCACAAGCTGTTTGATAATTTTCATAGTTAAAGTCAAGAGTTCTGAACATTTATAGGATTAAGTCCCATTTAATTAAAAATGTGTTTTAGTCTGCCCCCACTCTGTCAGACAGGCAACATAAACGACACATAATCAGTTCCTTTTTTTCATACACATCAAACTTACATATATCTATTTTGTTTACTGTAAAACTGTGGAATACAATGAGAACAGAGAATGTCTCTGAAAATTGGATAAATTCAAAGTCTATTCTGATTAACTCTCTGTGCAACTTTTTGAATTTTTAAACAAGAAATTTTATAAAATAAACTCTAAAAAATATATTAGTTTGTAAAATTTATATTTAAACAAAAATATTAAATTATTTTATTGCATTATCTGAATTCTATCATTTCTTTTAGAAAGTTTGAACCCTGCTATTTTATTAAATAACTTTATGTAGATTGCTTTTGTAAACATTTACAAGGATTGTATGTGTTTTACCATTGGTGTTTATACTGACCTGTATACTTAATACATACACACATTGTAAAGTGTGTGTGTATTGCTCATTAGATAGAGCGATAAGGGTTATAAAATTACTGGAGATTTGGTGTCACGACTTTGTAACTTGCAGGCATGATAACTGTTGATATGAAAGGATAGTTTAGTTAATGAGGAGTTTGGAAATAGGAGATTTCTGTATGGTACTTCCCTCCTCTCACAAGATTAGCCATTCTCATCCATCGCTGCCCTCTATATATAAACATCTTTCTTTATGCATGCCACAAACCTTCTGCTCCTCCCTATTGGAATCAAATGATTCCAACATATCTCTCATGCAAATCATCATGCGTCACTTCTTCACCAATAGGAGCAAGACGTACTCACGTGACACATGTGATTCCCTCTGTATGCCTATACTGAACTGTCACTTCTTATTAACCCTTAATAACCCTTTTTGCATCAGGTAGGTCAAAGTGCACATGCCACAACCTTTCACAGAGTTACATTCAAAATTTAATTAAACTACTTTATAATCAATATATACAAATAAAATTTACATCAAAACATAGTTAATAAATCAAAATTTAATATTATTTAAGTTTAATTTCTTAATTTTATAAGGCAATATTTAAAAACAAATCCTGAATTTCCCATTATGTGAGAAATGTGACATTTTTTCTCTAGGCATCTCCTCTTCTCAAATTTCCTACTTGTAGGGAGGTGAATAAATTAAAGGTAAATCACTCATTATAATATTGTCAGCACTCAAGCAAAGCATAATTTTCATAGCCTTCAATCTTGTTTGGTTACAAAGCCATGAAATAGAAAATCAGACCCTTCTTGATACAACCACCTATCACATCCTCTCTTTTTACATAGTTATGATAAAATATTGAGATATTACAATAACTCAAAATCTAGAAGCAATGGACAAATTCTGACTACATTTTTGAAATCAACACCATCAAATTACCCTGAATCACTTGAATTTTCTCAAGTAGCAAATTTTTTGTTGTCCAGTATTATTGACCTCTCTTCCCTGAATCATTTCTTGGTTGTCATATAATTTTGGATGGTGAATTTCTCCAATGGTCATTTCAGCCTGGTCTGTGGATAACCAAGGTGTATATTTTAGGTGCTTTTCTCCACATACCAACTGCCCCGTGCATATGACATTTTCTCCTGATTATTCACCTGGATCACATTTTCCAGTTCCATGCTTTTCCATTTGGTATAGCATTAGTTCCCTTACATTTTGATTCACATTATGCGGGTCTTTGCTTGGCTTCTTCACATTTAACTGCAATGCCATTTTATGTTAGCAACAGGCTTCTCCTTGCCTATTCATAGGCATAATCTTTCCAGCACATTTCTGTTTTTCACAAATCTGATAATTTAGGGTGGCTCTTTAATTTTCCTGTTCTTTCCTCACCCTATTTCTCATTCACTTGGTAATTCTATTTGACTTTTCTCAGCCATACCCAACCTTCTCCCATTCACCTACTGAACTTTGAATGTTCAGTTGCCATGTTTCACACCTTGCATTTACTTTTTGTACTTGAGGTACTTTTTCCTTTGGGGACCATGGCTTCCCTGAAACCTCCTTCCACTTGGCTATGCATATGTGCGTCCCCTATTTTTACACTATTCTCACCAATCCATCTCCCTCCTCATCTTTTGGAGAATCTTGCTTGGTGGCTAGACCCCTCCAAACTCCATCTCTGCTGTTCTGTTAGTGGACCTTCACCTGTTTATGTATGCTTCTCTCTCAGGATGGAGAGTATCTCTGAATAAAAATCTTACTTTGGGCTCTTTGACCCTTGAGGAGTGTTTATTTATCATGCCTTTGACCTGCTTACTGTCTGTTAGGCATTCTCACATTCCTTCCCCTTATAGATTGATTACTTCTGATCCATTTGGTCAGTTCCACTTTTGTGTTTCATGCACTGAATATTGTCACAGTCAGTCTTTCTCAACAAGACTACTTCCTACACTGGGAAAGGTCTCTCTCACCAGTCTTCCATTGATTTGCACTGAACTTAATACTCCCCATGTAAATGCCTTTGCCATACACTGTAAAACTAGTCTTCATCTCTTTGGTCTCTTGTGCCTCATCCCTCAGCCCTGGCTGTCTATGCCCTCAGACAGTAGGTCTGTCTTCCCCTCCATCTCCTCTAGATCCTTACTCTGATTCAGAACACCCTTTGCAGGAACCTATTACTCATTCTCACGTTTCAAGACCCCCCCCCCCCCACCCTACTACTACTACCTTCCCTTCGTACTACGTAACCGTAACCCTACCAACTAGTCGTACCTTACCTTTTCCTTACTAC